TAATTTATTGTTTTATTTTTTCCTAATTTTTAGAACTAGAATTAAAAAGTAATAAATTAAATGAAGATTAAAGTTGATATAGGTACATTTAAAAATGAACATTATTCATGGTCGATATATGTAGAGGAAAGACCCTTATTATTAGACACCGATCATTTTGGATAAATGCTAGAAGTCTATAGGCAGAATTTTAAAAAATAATAGATCATTTTGAAGGGAATTTAATAATGCTTTAAGATAACGTTATATAAAATTTAATTCAAATTCAATTTTTTTTTTTAATTTAAAGAAATGTAAAAAGTGAACAAATTGCAAAATCAAAAAATTGTGTTCCTAATATGCCCCGAAAAATCGATAATAAAACGCAAAATATATCAGTATTGCAAAAAACTTTATTTAATATACAAACTAAAATACAAACAAATACAGCTAGCGTGCGCGAAAAATGAGCATGCGATATTCAGAACTCGTCTTCAGGTAGTTGGAAAGCATCGCAGATAGGCACTCGATGTTCATTTCGGTTGTCTTTTTTTATTATTGTACAATAACATTTATATTTTAACAACGATTTTCATTTTTACATAGATTATTTCATATTAGGAATATCCTGGGTACCTCATATTTCCATGTCTTATGGATCATCAAATCTAACTTCTGTAATTAAATTCATATCCCGTATTTTTCTATTAGTACAACCTCTATCACTACATGAAGAATTTATTGTCAATTTATTTATTAAATAATGAACAAGGTTTTATGCTCATCTCAATGAAACTTGAAGACATCCAAATTTTAAAATCTTGTTTTACAATAACTACAGGCATGATCTAATAAATAAATTTTCTACTAATTGTAAATAAATAAATTTTCATTCCAAGAACAATCAATTCATGATGGAAACACAAGTAGATATTTATTAGTTCAGCAGAAACGCTGCTATCTCATATTAGGCACCTATTTCATAATAGGAGACTTTTCTCTAAGTTTAAAACTTAAATCAAATTCACGAATTATGCAATGTTCTTACTTCATTGTCTTAGAATCTTTATCTTTTTTTATATAAAAAATTTTTTTAGATCCTCCGATTAATTGGTACATGAACGCTTTTGCGACTTTTGCGAATTTTTAGTCATTGCATTAAAGCGGAAATTCTGTCAGAAACCTACGATGATATTGCGAAATCGGTGGGTTTTTTCTCTCGACGAGAATATTGTAGCCTGCTGCGCTGAAACCTCAAGTTCGAGTTCCTGCTTCGCTCGTTTACGCTTCGACAAACCGGTTTCGACGATCTCAACACCGATGCAAAATCGAACCTCGGTAGAACATGCGAATGTAAATCGCATAGCTCCAAAGCACAATCAAAATTAACGATCGAAACAACCACGTGAAATATAAAAATATAAAACATTGTGCACATATCTTAACATTTAAATTTGATTATTTCTATCTAAAATTGATTATTTTTTTGAAACTCAAATTAAATTTTACATACGAGATACGTCTTTCCAAACAAAACGTAAAAAGAAAAAATCAACTCTTTACGAATTAAGAATCAAAGTTCGTTCACAAAAATTATTCAAGTCCCTTAATAAACAGAGATTCATAGAAAAGTTAATTTTGCTTCCATATTAAATCCGATGAATATCTCAAATTAATATAAGAAATTACTATTATAAATTAAACATCTTCCTTCTGATGAAAGTTTTCAATCATAAGCATAAATTGAATTTTAATCATCAGTGGTATAAAGAATTTACTGCGTAGACAACAATAATCACTTCAATTGCGAAGAGAAAAACACTTCGTGTGGAGTCATAAAAGCGAAGTACATGCGTGAATAGAAATAAGCCAAATTATCATGTCAATATAAATCAGCAACTGCAAGATATCATCAATTCACCCTCCCGTATTCTATTCTACGAAGGTCAACGGCATAGCTTTTCATTGCTCATTTGGCCTATTTAGATGTGTGTCATTCACCTTGACTTATTCCTATTGTGTTTTTATTGCAAGCCTTGTAACATTTTCGTGTTTTTTGTATACCTGATCAACCTTTCACACAGGAGGGTCTCTTCTTTAAATACATCTTTACGGGAAATAAAACAATTTAAAAAAAGAAAAGAATACCTGAAAGGCCGAAGTTCCGAGAAATAACAATAGTTAGAAAGGATCAAACATCTACAACTTCTTTAAGATTCTATTGAAAGATTTAAGTCTCTTTAAAGAGTGTATAGAGTATAGAACTATGAGGAATTTTAAATTTTTCAGGTACCATTTCCTGTACAATGTTAAATATATATATTTGCAGTTTTCCTCCACAGACTTGGAAAGAATTTCCGTTTGAAAAGTAGCAGACAAAAAGTTATTCACTATTGTTAAGAATATTTTTCGATTGTTAAATAAATTCCACTTCTCAAGAAATATTGGATAATAGTTAGTAGAAAGTATATTGAGAATTGTTTAAATTTTAACATTTTTCTCCATGTATTTTTTTGCCTTCTATAAAATATAAATTTCCTTTTTCAGTCCGTAAAAATAAAAATAATATATTTTCTGTATAAGTCGTTTCTCGTGCACATGAGTCTCGTCGAGAATATTAATAATTAATAATCGAAATTAAAGATTTAAGACAAAATAAGGAGTAGACGGGCAAAGGCATATTTTTCTGGCGATCGAAAACGGACGTGGTTTTGCGGTTGCCACTGCGGTTTCATGTTGCTCCCAGCAGGATGAACGACGTCAACGATGAGAAGTTAAAGCGACATCGAGAGAAAGTCGAGAAGATGCGAGACGTGTTTTACTTTCACTTCTCGCACATATCCGCTATGCCGCCTTGTCACGTTCATTCGTAGCTGTAGAATGACGAATCATCATTTTGGAAATTCATCATATCGCAGGGTTTCTTACCGTGTTTTCCACTTTTTGTACTCTTTTCAATCTTTATGAAATTATTTGATAAGATATCCCGTTGAAACGCGATAAAATTCATGCGTATATAAGTTTTGTAATTTTAAAGTTGCAAAAGATTAACATAGTTAACTATAAATTAAAGATAAATCGAAATTAATAAAATTTACAGGATCCCGGTAACATGGTTTTAAAATCATATTTATGTGTCTAGATTCTAAACTTTAGAATAAGATAATATATGAGGATAATAATTCTCATGAATAAAATAATTATAATTTCACTTTCCCTAGCGTAAGCACTTGTTAAACTTTCTTCGAAGATTAATTTTCGTAAAAAGAAAACGATGATGTTTGCAAAATAAATGATTTAAAAAGTGAAATATGGAGAAAAAAGGATGTCGATTATTATTTTTTTTGACATAAATGTTGAAGACTTCAAGAGCTAAAGAGAATTCAAAAGCTAAAAATTTAAAGGCTTCAAACGTTCATTAAAGTATTTATAACAACAAAATTCAGAGTTCCAAGATCAGAGAAAGTTTCGATAATAATAATGTTCTTCAAATGAACTCTTGAATAGATACTAAGTATTTAAATAATTAAAATATTCTTAAGAACTATACGCGCGTAGAAGTATGTCGCAGGCCGAACACTATTTTACTGAGCTTGATGGACTGAAAGCATTACTTTTATTTCTTTCTAAAGTTTTTTTTTTACTTACAAGGTATTTGGTTTACTCCATGCATCACTCTGACATGCAGTTTTCTCATTAGGTATATAAATTATGGTAATGATTCGGTATTATATATAATAATTATAATTATAATAATTATTATTTATCATTATTATTAATATTAATATTATCATTGTGTCCAGTATTTCCTCTGCCCTTATTTTTGCTACTCACGGAGTGCTTTGCTCTCTTCTTCCTCCTCTCCTCATTCACATACATTTCACCCAATCTCTCTCTTCCTCCCCTTTTCCTTCTCCTTTCAATAATAATTGTCGCTTCCGAAGGAATGATTCGAGAACTCCGCCATATTGACTCACGTCGCGCGAGACTAATAAGGCGTGATCGAATATCGATTAACTGAAAGAGACGCACGCGTGAAATTAATTTACGGTTCTGCAATTCACAGATTCCTTTCAAGAATTCCACGAATTTAAGAATTATATGGAAATTAAATTTAATTGTCGAGAAAACTGAAAGCTGCCGTCTTCTCTAAACATCTAGGATACGAAGAACTGAAATCTTTCGAAGATTTCATGAAGCTTCGTGCCGATGCTGAATATTTACGCGCGTAAAATCATCTCATTATCGCATTGTATGCAGTCTCGGAGTAGATGGAAAATAAAAAATGTATCTCTGCATCTTATTGCATATGCATTCGCATATAAACATCGCAAATGAACATCGCCACGGCTTCACTCTATTCGTAGAGTTCACGGTTACACGTAAACATACAACATCGCTTTATGAGAACATTCTTTAAAATTGATCGAATTATTGATCTCGGGGATAGAGAATTAAAAAAAAATACGTGCGTCGAATACTTTGTGACGATCGTAGATATTTTAACAAAAAGTTGCGACGATGATAAATAGAACATCACGAGAGGGAGTCTCGTTAATTATTTACGATATGCGACATCGCGAAGGGTGAATTAGAAAGTGGACGATGTGTATCAAGAAAGTTTTGCATCATCTTCTTGTTTGTAGAACGGCAGTTTCAGTTGTGTTTGAAGAGCGGCGAACGAGGAGCCGTGGAAGAAGAGGCGTTCGAGTATTCGGAGAATCGGCAATTCAAGGATTCAATAACGCAAATATTCAACAAAAAAAATTATCGACAAAATTCTCTTGAAATTCTATAAACACAATAATTCTATTTAAATTATCAATTTTGAAAACTTTAAAGCTTTATCTTCTCAAATTCTAAAATCCAAAGTGCTTAATGTAATTCAAAGAAACAAAAATCCTAAATACCGCAAGTATTAAACGCCTCGGGAATGACATACCGATCGAAAAAAAAAAAAAAAAACGAAAACAATTAAAAACTCGTGAAGAGTGCCAGGGATACAAAGGCTTATCACTAGATTCGTGAAAGATCCTTTATTTCTAACAACACTGAATATATACTTTCACGTTTCCTCGTCCGCTCCAACATACTTTATACAGGAGATCCATAATCAAAAGGTGGTGCAAAACTCTTGTTGACATTGTGTGAACGCGCGAGATTGTCCGAACAACAACAACGGCGAGGATCCAGCAGTCGTCAGACGAGGATACGAACTCGTCCGATCACTTGGTAAAAATCGTTACCAGAACGGGAGGAGTGTAAAGAAACAAGATATAACGAGACTGTGGGCAAGATGCGGGAAGGATTTGAAGAGGAGAAAAACAAAGTGAGAGAACTCGAGGATTCGAGGATCCCAGAATCTCCATCCGAATCTCCGGGGTCATGCGAATCCTCCTCTTCTTTCCTCTCCTTTTCTCTCTTCTTCAGTAAGAGGATGAAGTGAGCGGTTGTGCTCCGCCGTCCAAGCAATCGCGCAATAGAGTAATTCATCCATCCATCCGCGTCCGTCCGTCCGTCCGTGCATTCATCTCTATACTACCTATCCGTCCGTCCGTTGTCCGTACGTCCGTCGGTCCCATCATCCGTTGATGATTCAGAATCGACGACGTGGTGCCGCGATAATCGACAGACTTCTGGCGGGCACGAAAGTGCTGACGTTGTTGCTCGTCGCGTCACCGAGCCGATCGGGTCACTTCTTGCTCTTCTTGGTGGGCGGCTCCTGCGCATCCTGCGAGTCCTCTTCGGTGTCCTCGCTATCGGTAGGTCGTGGCGTCGCGTTGTTACTGCTGTCGTTGGTAATGAGGGAATCATTCGTGTCCTCGCTGGCGCCCACAACGGGATGATCGCTGGCGGTGATTGGTGTCGCCGGTTTGTCCATCGAATCCTCGGTGAAAGATGTCGTCGTGCTGTTCTCATCGATCGCCGCCGGATCAAGTGCCGCCGGCGTGTCTTTGCCATTCGCCACCGTTTCTTGATTACTGTCATCCGACGGCTCTGTCGCCTCGCCGTTGCTGGCACTGTGCGAGTTGCCGTTCTCTGTCGAGCCCGGAATGCCGTCGAGCAGTTCCGGCTTCAGCTCGGACGCCACATAATGTGTCCACAACGCCAGTTCGACTCTATGTGGGCTCCATGTTTTGCCATTTGACGCTGGAACAAAGAAAACATTTTTCATGGCATTTCAAAAACTAAATCCTTCTCTTGTAAAGGAATTTTGAAAATGTGAAAATATAAAATCCAAGGATTTGGTAATGAAACAAGTGATACAATGTCATTAAATTCAAGGAAATACAGTAATATATAATATTTTACTTGAAAGTATGGAAATATAAAATTAGAGAGATACCCAAGGATCCGACCATGGAAAACCTCGGCCATGGAGAAATAACATGAGAATATCATTCAAGGACTCAATACAGTAAACGCACGCGATTCCGGGATTACGCGCACGCGGCAAGTAGTGATTCATAATCGCTTACCCTGTTTGTTCAGCCTCGCGACGGTGTTCTGAATGTGCTGAACAAAGTTTAAGTATTCCTTAGTGGTGTAATCGATACCCTCAATCTCTGGTATCGCCATCAGGCACTCGTCCGCCATGAAGGGCGCGTTCTCCGGCGACGCCGCGGCGAGCAGAGCCGATGCCATCGTGGTACCGACGCCCTTCAGATTCGATAGCGCCGTGATCGCTTGCTCGAGATTTGGGAGCTTTTTGAACGCCTTCTTTGTTTCTGCCATCACGGCGCGCGGTGTGTTCACCTTCACCAGGTAGGACAGCTGTGGGTAGAATTTGCCGCGCTGAAAACAAAATGGCAGTCAAGTACCCGTTGGAACATCTAGATCCTGGATCAGGTTTTACAAAAATCTTTCTATTAGATCCAGCGAGATGGTGTTATGTTCAATCTCCGCCAAATCCAAACCTTACAGGTTTACGTTCAAACAACTAATTACTTTAAAGGTGTAAATTACGTATAATAAATATAAATCTTCTCAATAATTATATTTCCATGGGAATAATATCGTTTTTTCTTTGTTTTTAATCGATTTCTTTATTCTTCTTTAATCAATGTAATCTTTTTATCCGTGAGAACTGGTTTCGTACAGTCCATAAATTATAAGTTATAATATCCTTTTTCTTCCGAATCGCGTATATATCAAAAGAGATAACAATATTACTTCACACTAGATAGTACTTCACACTATTACTCTTGCACCGCTCTCGACTGTCATGAAAGCAGTTGATAAAATTCGCTATTTTTTAATTAATAAAATTCGTTAAAATTTAATACTACAGATAAAATCGTGTTCGAACTCGGCGAAGTCCGATCCTCAGCGCAGTTGACCAAACAAGGAAAAAACGGCTTACTATTTGCTTCCATTTCATCGTCTGCACCAGCTCCTCGTGATTGAGATGCGCGTCCTTGCCGCGTGCCTTGATCTTCTTCGGAAGCTCATTCTGATACCTGCCAATACAAACAAGAGATCCGTGCGATCAAGATTGATCTATCGTTCAAGTCAAGAGGAGGAGCGCGCACAAGCGTACACACACACACGCGCGCGCACACACACGCACGCAGTCTCGCGTACGCATGAGCGAACGACAAGCATGACGTAATCGCGCCGCCGCCGTCGCTGCTGCGGAATACAGGAATTCGTTAAAGGCTCGATTAAAAATACAAACGCTGCCGCAAGAAACTCGACACGCCCCTCGTCAACGATTGGAGGATACCCATCTTTATCGCGCACGTGGATCACACGTGGATTCGCGCTGTGACGTTCCGTCTTTCTTTCTCAATACAATCGGAATACAAACACTCGAAACTATCACAAGAACAATGGAAACTAATGTTGTAAAATTGAAGACTATCAAAGCGACGTCTACAATCAGACTTTAAAGCGTAACCTTTAAGCCTCAAGCCAATCACAGTCGAATATGAGGAGAATAATCTATGATGTTAATTTGTTATAGCTTGAAGCTTAAGTTTTAAATCTTAAAATCTTATTGTAGACGCCACTTCAGTAAAAATGAATCAAGAAAGATTCAACATAAATGAGTAAAGAAACCATATTCGGACAGGTTTTGATACTTAACAATATTTTTGCGAATTTTCTCAATTTCCAAATCATATAGACTGCCAATTATAAAACTGAAGACTGTTGTAAAATTAAAGAAAGCGCTGTTAGAATCAAAGAGAAAAGATTTAAGAATCATTCGGATCCGGATAATTCGAAGAAAAAAGAATAATTAAGATTGAAAGATCACATGCTCTTTTTATATACTTTTTTCCATGCTGACAAATTATTAAAATAATTCGCATCATTTTATACCGAATTTCGCAAAATAATAAATCGGATTTCAATGTTACTGCAAATAAGCGGGATTTATCATCATTCAATATATTTTCAGAAAATATCGCATTTGTCCGGGAAATTATTAAATTTGCAACGCGCGTATTGTGTTATCTCGCGAATCTGTTCAACATCAATTATAATTTGTAAATTAACTAAAATTCATTTATTAAGTAAGATTTTCGATAATTCTTATTACAGAAATACGTATTAAATAAATAATTAGTGATTATTATACAGCGCCATAACGATCTCTTTCCTTATTTAAGTTATAAGAATTATTAAAAAATCGATAAAATATATTAAACGCTTAATCACATTGAACAAACAGAAATTTTGAAATTAAATCTGTATCTCCAAAAATTTGAAAATTCACTCTTTCCGAAGCGAAGAAATCAATTTCAAAGGTGATAATTGCTCCACGAACCGTTTTTTTAACGTGCATCGTTAAAAGTATATTTTTCCTCCCTGCGTCTCTGCCGTGTTTTTTTTCCTCTTGTAACTCTTCCGTTTTTTTTTTTTTTTTTCAAATAAATTCCCACGTCCGCGTTTACTCTTTAAAGAGATGTTTTCAATATTTTCCGAGCCAAATAGCAACGTTTCACAAAGTTGAAACGCGCGCTGCACCTCGTAATACCGCATATCCGCACACGACTTGGCACCGTGGAAAAGCAGCCTTGACACAAACTGGCCTCAATGGGAATGAAAACAACGGTACTCTACTTCTCCTGACCCCTCATCGCCATCGCTTCTGCAACACGGAAGAAACTGGCGCGTAAAGTCTGTCCTCCCTTTCCCCCTATTCAACACCAGCTTCTTACACGTTCTATCTGTTCCTTATGTATACCTCTTTTTTTTACAGTCTCATCGCAATATATTGTGATCGATAAAATGATCTTGTTCGATCCCATCACGCCTGCGAAAACAAATATGAGCTTATCATTGCACGAGATTAATGAAGAAAAAGATATTTATATCTTGCTTTTTCTTGTAGACTGTTCTTTTATTTCCTATGTTATTTATTCATTATTTTCAATGAAATTGATATTTAAATGCAATATCATAACAGTTATGAAGAAATTATTCTTTTAAAATTAATTTTTTTATCGACATACTTTCTAATTTTATCATCTTTAAGAGGAATTGTCTTAAATCGTGATTAAAAAATTTTAGGTTTTACAAAAATTATTTATTCACTTTAAATGCGAATAATTTATTCACTACTTATTAATAATATAATAATATTCTTTATCTAACTATCTATTAACGGAAACTCTTAACGATTATCGATTCTTTTAAAATAAATTATTTAAGTTAAAAATAGAAGAGTCGCGAGAAGTTATTAAAGCCACGTATTGGAAGCTGTTCAGCTTTGAAGGAGTTCCCATTTTTTTATGATCTCTTTAGATCCTTAAATCCTTAGATTCTTAAATAAAAATGTAATATACGATCCTATTAAGATTCGTAATCTACAGTTTTATGTTTCTGAATTTTGTTCTATTTAAATTCGTTTGATATTTTTCTTCCAAGCATTATATCAGTTATTGAAGTTTCTTTGTTCTCGAATATCGAATACTGTAAGTATTCTTGATGCACTTTAAATTCTTAGATCCAAAGATCCACAGTCTCAAAATTGTCCTGTGGATCTAAGAATATTAAAATTTTCAAAAGTAAAAATTTATATACTTGTTTTAGTTATGACCTATGAATTTAGGTACAGCTTTATAAAATTTACAAAATAAAATTCTGAGATCTTTTTTTAGTAAATTTTAGATTACCGAAGTTGTTTTTTTAAAATAAGTTAATATTATATATTACTTAAAGTAAAGTGTAGACCGTAATTCTTTAAATAGAAATTTAATATTGGCTAATATTAAAAGACAGTAATTAATGACTTATTTTAAATATTAAAAGCACTGGTGTGCAATACTTTTAGTACTTCAAATAAATAATTAATTACCGTCTTTTAGTAATAAATTAGCTAGAATTAAATTTTTGCGAAAGATAGAAGCTATTATTATAATATGTAATCTAAAAACCTCTTAATCTAATATCGTCAATTATTTAAAGTGTTCTATTAATCAACGGATTTCTTTATAAACGAATTATTGTTCATAAACAGAACGAGTAATGAATCATTATACAAATAACATTCTTTGCGTGATATCACTAATTACATAATCTTTTTGATTAATCCGTCCTTTTAAACTTTTGTAAGTATTACGAATTTAATTACGTCACGTGTAGATTAATCATTTTGTTAAAATCAATAATCATATCAGTGATGAAACAGGAAATTATCAACATTTCAATTCCATTCACGTTTTATATGTTACTTATACAAATAATTAACGCACGCGCTGCAACTCACGATTCATGTAAATAAAAAATGCAAATATAAAACATTTCTTTAATGATACATACAATTATATATTTCCACAAATATATATTCGCGGATGATTTATTTATTCCTTTTTTATCTCTTTATCTTTTCTAAAAAAAATCTTCGATTAGATGAGATAAAAAAAAGAATAATAATCTCCGGCAATCGCATTCTTCATCGACCTAGTTTCATTTGTTCATGATCAGCAACTAAAAAAGGGGAAAAAAATGGGATCTGCATTTTTTTTTGTATCTACTTGTTCGGAGTATCATTCTATTGCGGGACAGCTGACCACGTGACGGCGAGAAACTGTCCATGAGAAGTCCGCGGGGTAAATCCCCCTCGATTCTCGACAAGAGTGAGCCGCGAGGGTGACATACGGGCGCGCACACGCGCGGCGTTGCCGTTCTCTCGCTTCGCTCGCTCGCTCGCGGAGCAGTGCGAAGCGGGTTCATTGTCCCGCGTGCGCCCCGTGGTAGAGCGCCGTTTCCTCCCTCGGGCCGCCGTAATGTCGGCGGCCCATCAGTGGCGGCAGCGCGTTTTCTTTCTCTTTCCCTCACGCTATCACCTCCTTCTCTCTATCTCGCTCGCTCCTTTTCTTTTTCGCACACGCACACAGGAACACGCGCGCGCGCGTCACACACACGCACGCACACACCATCATACACACACATCATCATACACACACACACACACACAACCACACACACACGCGCGCGCTTGGAGGGGAAATGACAGCGTCGTTGTGCGTCCGCCGTCGTAGAGTACATTAAGCCGTACTTACCAATTGTCTAGCTTGATCAGCTCCTCGGGTTTTTTCGACTTGTGATCGGCCTTGAGGCGCAGCGCCTGCGGATAAAGTTTGAGAACGTGTTCAAACTGCGTCGCGGTGCCCTCCGCGAAGAAAGTCGCTGTGTCTTTCACGGAAGCCATTGCGATAACGCGGGCTTCGATCGACGGCCGTCGGGGCGCAGCACCAGCGCCGCCTACTGCCGTTGCTCCGTAAATCGCGTCGGCCGTTCCCGTTGCTGATGCCGCCGCCGCTGCTCGCTGTTCTCGCTGTTACCACCGCCGCCGCCGCCGCTGCCACGGGCGGCGTTGCCACGTCTCGTCTGCTCTTTGCCGAGGAATCCTACTTCACCCTCGCGAATTCCCTCACCAGTGCGGCGCGAGTAAGCGCGTCGCGTGGGAAATCGATGACGGTGGTGGGAGAGCCGCGTACCGAGACGTTACGGCTCTCTCGATTCTCTTGCGAACGGAAAGATTCGTAGCCTGCGTCTGTACGGACTGGAATTTTAACGAAAACGTTGAATAAAAAGATAACTGTCACTGTACGTTTTTTTTTTCTTTTCGGGAGGGGAATCGACTCCCTTTTCTCTCTTTCTCTTTCTTTTTCCTCCTCTCTCCGCTTGACGTGCGTTTAAAAAGAGTACAAATGGATAAAATGTATCTTGAACGTATTCAGAACGAAACTGTCCTCGCAGACACTGTGCGACTACACGAGAGAAAATCACACTGTCGTAAGAACTCTTCGTCGGACCTCGCTCGACACAGGCCCGGGTGGGGAGTCGACGCGACGTTGCCAATAGACGGCAGCACTGCTCGGGTTGCGCCTCTATCCCCACTCTAACTTGAATGCGCCTCGCTCCCTCTCCAAAGCGATCGTTGTCTTCGTCTCTCTCGCACCTGGGAAACACTCCCGTGAGTCCCCCGACCCCCTCTTTCGTTCTATTGGGAATATGTCTGTCACGCTTTCTCCACCGAGTCGCTATCCGTTTCTCTCGCTCCGACGATTCCGTCTCGACCCCTCTCTCTCGCTCTCGCTTGCTTACCGTCTCGCTCCCACGGAGTCCGTATCTCTCCCACTTGATCGCCGCTTATTCTGCTCTCCCTTCCACGCCCGTTCCGTGTCCTTCTCCTCGCTACCGCGATGTCCTTGTCTATCGCCTTTGATTGCGCCTATATATCTCTTACGCGTCTACCTCTCTTTTTTTCCTCTCCTCTCTCTCTTTCTCTCTCACTCTCTCTTCCTTTCGCACCACGTCGGTCTCGCTCGCTCTCACGGGATCGCGAAATTCGGTCGAACACACGCGGCGACGTGCCTTCAACACCTTGTGTAGTGTGTCGGAGGGGAGCGCGAGATTTTCACGGAGCAGCTCCTTTCTCCAACTGAACGGTTCGGCGTGCCTCTCCTCTCTTTTTCTCCTTCTCGCACGCAGAACACGTACTCCGCTCCCTGTCCTTCTTTGCTTGACAATAAGCGATATCAACGTGACTCTCTGTCTTTCCTCGCGTGCATGTCTCGTCGCGAATTACAACGTGATTCTTTTTTGTGCTCACTGGATACTCTCGCGCGCGCACGAAGGCACCAACGATTCGTAAATGTGAACGTAAGCACGCAGAGACAGAGAGAGAAAGAGAAAGAACAGCAATAGAATAGCGCGTTTCTTCGCGTGGAGTCGTACAATAAATATCCGTGTCCGCTTGGTATATATTATAAGCTACGTTCGCTCGATTTTCTACCAACGTCGCCCGACAGGCATGTTTCCACGTAAGCGACTGAGGTTACATTGCGCGACGACCGCCTCATCGACGACGGAGCCACAGAAAGCGGTGATTGGTCGAGCATGGTCTCTCTCAGACTATCTTTCTCTCTCCCTTTCCCCTCCTTCTCTTCCTCTCCTTCTCCACCACTCCCGTTGTCTTGCTTGATGTTCGTCTTTATCGCTGGCTCGATGTCGATATTTCCTTTTTCTTCACGGGAATATCGCGACGAGATCCGCGACGAGGTCGACGATCATCGATTGCATTCGCAAATAACGTCGCTAGATCGACGAAAAGTCGTATACGACTGCGCCGATGCATGCGTGTGCACGCGAGCGCGCGCACGTCAGCAGAACGGAGTGGCGAGCGCGCCCCTACTCCTGTCTCGAATGGTCTCGAAAACGGGAACGCGGAGGAAACGGAGAAAACTCACGTACAACCAGCCAGCCCGACCAATCGTTCGCTCCGTCACGCGCGCGCGCGCGCGTGTGTGGTGGTGTGTGTGTGGGGGCCGTAGTATGTCGACCGGCCGATCGAGGGCAGCGCCGTCGCTCGCCGCCGCCGTCGCGATTGGCACCCCGCCAGACCCTCTCCTGTCCCCGATGACCACTTCTGACAAGCGAGCGAGCGAGCGAACGAGCGAGCGAGAGAACGAACGAACGAGTCGTTCCTCCCCTCGTCGTGTTCGTACGTCCGGACACCGCATCCACCGTCAGCTGCGCATTGCGCCCCCCCTCCATGGCGCCGTGCTGGAGGATCAGTGGAGACGCGGTGTTCAGGGATGGATAAAATAACTCGGAGTTGTTCCACCGTTGTTGCTACGAGACTGTAAAAGCAGATAGAAATTTCCACGGCGAGATATTTCTTTTATTACTAATAATGTAGATTACAAAATTAACGCAGTAACGGTAATTATATTCTCGTTATCGCGTGCGATAAGCTTCAAAGTTACTGGCGATTATTGTGTAAGGTCATAAACAAATAATTGCTCGGAGCAGTAAACTGAGAGAGAAGACGCTCGAATTTATTTTTGAAGTTTATACATACGTCACTATATAAAGTATCTAGATATCCAACGCATGTATCCGTAGAAAACCATAGAATAGATTCGCTATAGGTTCGCTTCTTTTTTTATTATTATTTGTCTCTTTTATCTTTTTTTATATACAATCAGAAATTGACAAACAAGATAATCAAAAGTTTAATAAAATTTGATACAGTTGTTACAGCAATGATTATTTGAGCTAAAGTTATATTATACAGCTGCCTGTACAGGGACGCATGTATACTTTGCGAACGGATATTCCACGATTGAAACGGTCGACTGTTTCTGGCAGTCGCTTGAGACCGATTTTTGAAGGGTGAATCTTACGCAGCTGCGTTCAGATGATACGCCGGTGTGCGCATTTGCCAAATTTTATTATCTTGCTCGCATGTAAGATAAAGATGTAGCGCGTGATGAGTCGTGTTTTTTTGGAACATCCAGTAGAACATGTTGAACGGCGATTTATCAAAATTGAGAAGCATTCCATTGTTTAAATTCCAAAATCAGGTGGCGGGACGATACGAAGAAAAGAAATTGAACGCGCGCCCTGACTTTGAAAATAATTTTCGTTCTTCTGCAGAGAAATCGCGAAAGGTCAAAGATACAGCGCGTATAAATCTTTCGAAAGGTCAAAGATACAACAAATGCAATTTTTTTACAGAGAGTTCAATTTTTAATAGAGGGAAGTAATTTCAAGTGACAAATTAAAAATTTTTTATAAAAATCTTAAGTAATTTTGAAAAATTATAAAAAAAAATCACACGTGAAGTACTTGATGTGACTTAAATATATTTTAAATAAGCTTATTTAAAATACTTTTATATGCTAGAATAATTATACAGAAATATTTGTCAAAGTTAAGAACAATTTAAATAAACATTGTAACAATTTTTCAAAATTTTACGACAAAATAAATTCGAGTATTTTTTCTTTACAATGTACGTTCAAATTCCGACTTCCTGTGCGTTCAATAAGTCCCATAGAGGGACCCACTTTCTAAGTAATATAGATAAAATTACGGCAAAGAAAAGGGCGATAAAGGTGAAGGGAACATTGGGTTTTCCCAGGAGCGTCTTCCTACGTCTTGACGCCCCGCTTTCCATCATCTCGCTGCTTTTTCCTAAATAACTCGAGTATTCGAGCGTTCCTAAATTTAAACGACTCGGGCTGCCGGAGATTCGATCGTCCTTAAAACTGTGATAATGCCTTTTCCTTTCTGCTTGCTACAGACGGAGCCCCGTGAAGCGGAGTGGAACGGAGCGAAGCGAAGAGAAGCGATTGTGTGGAATATAGGCACAGGCACGTAGGCCAGACAGATAGGAAAGCAAGCAGCAAGCAGGCAGGCAGGCAGGCCAGGCAGGCAGGCAGGCAGGCAGGTAAACGGACATGCCGAGTATAAGCCTCGGCAACATGGCCGTCGACTCACCGTTATGCGCCTCGTGCCCCCTATACAAAAGAGAAAGGGCCGCGCCGGTCGGTCCGCCCCCTCTGTCCCTCGGGCGCTTGAAATTCAATTCCGGCACTGCCGCACGGCGCGGTTGCCAGATCGACCCTCGTTCGCTCGCTCGCTCTCTCCTTCTGTCGCTACCGTCCGTTATCGAACGTTCGATTTACACCGAGTGCGCGGCGCGGGAAGATTTTCGTCGAGGCGATATCACTGTGACTTTGCGGGGAAAATTGCAGCGTGACGCAAAATCAAAAAAATTATATAATAAATAATAACCAATGTGTAACATTAATTTATGACATAATTCTGATTGAAACGAGAATATGACCCGAAATATTGAAAAAGGAGGAAAAAAGATTAATAAATAGACTGTGTTGTCAAAGAATGCTCTGGGTGAATCATTTGTATTCGATTTCCTTCGCCTCTTCATATCACGCGTGTCGCGCGCACGAATGGTTTTTTTTTGCCACATCAACGAAAAAGCCGTTGAGTCGATACATTGATGTATTATACATAGAGATATTCATACGAATTCTCATTTTACTGCGACGGTCTTTTAAATCGTTCTTGTATATGGAATCGCAAACACATCAAACGGAACAAATACTATTGTCGAGGGACGACTCTTAATCCGGAGAACGTATATAATTAGTAGACTTACATGTGCACTCCAATTAGCGATTGTTATCAATGCTTGTTGTATTTTTTGATTGCACGCATATCAGAAAATTCGTTTCTATCCGAATCTTAAAAATGTCTGAAGTACAAAACTGAACACTATTGTCAGTTATTGCATACTATTGAAATTGTGTCTACTCGCCAAGGTGAAAATTATTCTTTCCTTTAAATCTCATATTATTTATAGAAATTTTTTTAAAAAATTTCATCGAAAATATTTCAGAATGGTTTTTAACTATTTTATTATTTTATAAATATATAAATATATATAAGGTGATTCTTAATTATTTTAAAAGATTTTAAGAGAGATGATTTCTCATATTTTATAATTCAAGGTGAAAACTAAATTTCTTTAACATTGTAATTAAAAAAATTAATGTCTTCAAAAGATGAGCCTTTATGTTCTTGAAATATACATGAAATTTCAACAAAATAATTCGAGTGAATTTCAAAATTTTTGAAAGTTTCCTTTTTCCTTCAACTTTGATATCCATATCTTTGAAACTAATTGTAAGTCGGACATATAAAATTTTTGTTTTAAATTTTAAAAAATGTAAGGAATAGCTTCTTAAAATATTTTAGAATACTGGATCCTGTATAGATTATCACAAAGATAGATATAAAAGGTTTATATTGGACGAGCTAAAAATTTCCGGGAATATTTCTTTTTTTTTCACGAATAAAACGACGAGTCAGCAAAGTGTCGCGGGGAGAGTTGCATAAGATCGAGTCGCGACTTCTCGCAATACATGTAATTCCGGACGTTCTGATGACGGTGAACATTGAAAACCCTTCGATTTGCAAACGTAGATGAGAATCAAAATGTACGAAAAAAAAAAACAGCAAATAAATAATATTGCAAGTCTATTCAGAGTCAAGCGCGATTGCAAAAAGTGTCATATATCTGACTGATACAAAAGAACTAAAAACATGAGGAGGTTAAGAATATGATTCCTTGGAGGCAAATACCCTGGCATTTCGTGCCAATTACATGATGCAATTAATATACAGATACAGATATCGATTATCACAGGCATTATGTATATGCAGACTATATTTATAGTGATTATATTTTCTAGGCGTATGAGCTTGGAGGAGAGAGGGGATATTATTTAATAGCTAATTTAATTTATGATATTATTTTAATATGTGCTTTCAAGTCCGATAATTGCAAGATATTTTTAAAATTTATATATAAAATATTATTAGGCATAAAGACCTAATCTCGATTTATTTGCAGCCCTTCTCTCTCTTAGTTACTTAATATTTCCCTTACTAAATAGTAATTAATAATTCCCTTACTAAAATTAATCAACAAATATAACTGAACTAAAAAGAAATTCTTGTAGAAGTGTGTTACCTATATGGATTTTCTGTGGCACATTAGAGACTATTTTTAAATCAATTCAATCTCCCTATATTCGCATTCTTTCTATTCTTATCTATTTTTTTCAATTCTCACGACGGAACAAAGAAAGAAAGAAAAAAAGCATTAATTCCTTAATCAAAATTAAGATATGTTAACGAATTCCCTTCCGTTGTTGCAAGCAATGTCGCGACTTCATTACTAATGTCGACGGAAAGAAGTAACCAAGAAATTTCCAATGCATCGCCAAAGCTTCAAAAAGATCATTGGTTACATTTCACAACATAAATTTCCATTCGTATTCTTTATCGTTCACTCATTTCGCTGATTAAAAATCATAAGTTTCTCAGCGAGAAGAAGAGAGGGAGAGGATATGCTCAGATATGCTCGTGATGTCGTGGTGACGATTCCGAAAACGGAAAATCCTGCCGCGCGATTCGAGAACGCGTCATCGCATCGCCGCGACACGGCGCCGCCCAATGAGAGAAATTGACGACATCCACACAGCTCGAGGGATATCGCGTAACTGCTACACGATTCGTGTGCCAACATCGCGCCGAACGTGATGTTACGCGCGGAACACGTGGGGCTCTCATTCTCATCTCTCTCTTTCTCTCTCTCTCTCTCTCTCTCTCTCCTCTCTTTCTTTCTCTTTGTCTCTCTTGCCTTCTCACCAGCCATCTCTCGTCTCTTTCCCCGATACTATACACCTCGTGACAATGTCGCGCCGCTCTGACGTGCGGACACGGTCGAAGGAAGGCAGCGAGCAAGCAAGCAAGCAAGCGAACAAACTAGCGAGCGAGCATACGAGGGACGAGGCGCTTTATCGCGCGACCAATCCAAGCGCTGTGACCTTGAGCCGCTTCAGAGAGAATATAGCTAAATATAGCTGTGTGAGCGCGAGAGCGCGCGCCGAGTGTGGTGTGTGTGTGTGTGTGTGTGTGTGTGTAGTGTGTCGCGTTCGGTTCGGGGCGTTCGGGCTTCCAACGTAGCGCTCGCCGGCTGCCTCGCTGCCGAGCCTGTGAAGTCTCCTCCGCGACTT